CAAAGTACAGTAAAAGAGCCAAATTTTGTCCCCTAGGAAAGAAATTTACAACGGGTTAAAACTGAAAATTGTAAAATGGTTCTCATCTAACTGGTCATTGACTCTTAGATTTTGGCAATACCACTGTGAACTATGTATTCTGAAAACCAAAATGTTTTGCCTTATGTGAGTGGACTGAACTATGCAACCAAATCTTTCTCAAAAATATTAGAAATGACAATGATGAAATAAAAAAAAACTCAGTTAAAGAAATATGTATGCTACTCAAATTCCATCAGCAATTTAAATGGTATGAAGCAAATGATCCCCTCACTGGGTGACATCAATCCGACATAAACAATAGCACCAGGAGAGTAACATACCTAAATATACTCCTGTCACAAGGACTTAGGTTGAAGAGAGGCAGAGAGGAAGCCCAATGTTTTAGTTTCCATCAACTATTTGATACAGTGTTTTCATCCTATTGCTGATTTTGGCCCTTATGAACACTTTTTTTTTTTTTTTTTTGGTATGATCTCTAGAAATAGCACATCTTAAAATACAAGGGCACTATGCATTCTAGGCCAGGAGAATTGCCATGCTTAGTAATGTGGTATGCCTACGATCATGCCTGATACACAGTATGTGTCTAATAAATATTTGTTGCATAAATGAATGAACTAATCCGTTTGTTTGTATACTTTCAATTTATTCGTTTTCCATGTTTTTAAAATTTTAAATTGTTAACAAGAACAACAAAAAACCTATGCCTAAAGGCAGTATATGACCACAAAGCAGTCCTATTTATAAGCAGAATGGACAACTTCTAACAAGTCTTGAGTTTAATGTACCTCTTTTTCAAAATATGCCTACTATGTCCCCTATCAGAATTGACCTTACTTGTTTACAGAGGAGCACTAGTCAAATCTAAATGTTTTCTTTGGATCAAGTATTTGAATACAAATATATGTATAGTCCTTAACATGAGAAGAAGCCAATTAATACATTTTCCCTAGAAAAGATCAAGAAAAAAACAGAAAAGGGACAAATAAATTATATTAAGGGTAACTACGGAGCCCTAAATTCAAAATGGGATATAATAATCATTATTAATATTATGTCAGTAGCTTAATGATTGAAATAAAATGGATAATTTCCTGCAAATATACTTAGTATAACTGCCTCAAGAAGAAGTAGAAAACATAAATAGTCCTTAACTCATTAAAGAAATTGTGTTACTAGTCAAAAATCTACCCAGGTAGTCCAAAGCATCTCAGACTGTATTACAGATGAATTCTACTAAATAATAAAGGAAAAGATTGTTACAGACTTCACAAACTCTACCAGAGAAAGAAGAAACATGCCAGTAACATTTATTTTGAGGATAGTATAGCCTTAATGCCAATATCATAATACGAAAAGGAAGCTTTACACTAAATTCACTTATGAAAAGAATTGAAACAGAAAGGGGTAATACATGTTGGATTTGTTCCATGAATACAAGAAAAATTTAACAATAGAAAATGTTATTCATCACATTAACAGATTAAAGAACATTTAGATAATCACATGGGTAGGAAGAGAACTCAGTCAATTCTATACCAATTATAAAACTTTTATAAAAATCAAGAATAAATGAGAACTTCATCACCCAATGAAGAGGATATACATAAAAGCTACAATAAATATCATACTTAATAATGAACCTTTAAAAACCTTCCCTTTAAATCCAAGAATGAATAATTTCCTGCCATCATCGCTTTTAATCCACATGGCCTTTGGTTTCTAAGCAATCACAGTAAGACAGAAATGGTTTAAAGGGATAAAGGTTGAAAAGAAACTGAACAATTATTATCCACATACTACATAATTATTTACATAGACACCTGCAAAAGAGAACATAGGCAATGTGTGAGAATTTAAAAAATATATCAAGGTTGATGAACCTAAGGTAGATTTTAAAAAAGATTAATCTTATTTCTATCCACTAGCAACACTAGAAAATGAAAATTTAAAAGTAACACTTCAAATAATCAAAAGAAGATGAGAGAATAAATTTAAGAAAAGAGCTGTATAGATAATAGTATAAGACCTTCCTGCAAGAAATTAAAAATACCTGGGTAAGGGGAGGGATGTACTAAAATGCAGTGTTTCTTCAATTAGGCTGTGGCTATACATTGGAATTACATGAGGTTTTTAGAGTGCTAACACCTGGACTCCACTTTCAGAAAGTATGATTTAACTGGTCTGGAATGCAGACTGAGTTCTGGGAGTTTCCAAATCTCCCCAAATGATTCTAATGTGCTGGCAAGTTTAAGAAGCAATGATTTAGTGGATGCTGTGGTGCCCACCCAGATCTCAGCTATAGGATAGAAACACCCATTCTCCCAGCTGCTAAAAGTATTGACAACTGATAGTTCTCGGATGACTCCTCCATCCTGGACTTTCCCTCACATCCTTTGGCTGAAGACACGAGAATTAAAGCCCCCTATATACCACTCCATGGACACTTCTCTCTATTCCTTGCTCCAAAAATAACCACTAACTTGGATTGGGTGTTTTGCATTGTTATGCATTTCTTTATCATTTTACTACATATGTATGTATCCCTAATGATACACAATACTAAATTACATCACACTCCATATATTCTTCTTGCTATATTTGCTCAACTCTTTATAAGTGGCATTCACATTAATAACTAATTCTAATTCATTTATCTTTTCTAATGTATAGATTTCAATTGTATGTATATGCTATAGTTTATCCATTTTCCTGTTGATTCTTTGTATTGAGGGTGATTCCATTTTTCTGAAGGCAACGGTTGGAGGCTTTGAGATGCCCCAAACAATTTGTAATTTCTTTAAATATACAGGGCAAGGGATATAAGTTCTGAGTGGGATGGAAAGCCATTGAATATGGCACTTTGGAAGGAAAGAGGAAATCAAGAGTGAAAAAAGATATATAAGGAATCAAGATGAAAGCTAACTGGAATCCATGTTTCCTGAAGGCCAGCCAGAGGACCAGTTTTTACATATGTATCTCTGTCACATCTTCAATTTCATTTTCTCTTTATCACAGCTACCCTTGGACTCTCAAAAATCCTCGCCACTTTTCTCCTGAGGCACTTCCAACATGAAGTGTGAGGTAAATTGTGTCCTGCCATAGATCATTTTTCCCTAGCCTATGTTGCTATGTTTTCTTCTGCTTGTATAGAGGATTATAATTCTATAACATTGGCAGAAGAAAACAGGACACTTATGAATCATGGCCTACATTTTATAAAAGATGAGAGCCTAAGTTTTAGAGTCAGACAGGCTGGGCTAATGAGATACTGTGTGAGGAAGTTATTTTGTCTCTCCAAGTTTTGATTTCCTCATCTGTAAAATGGAAATATAATTTAAAATACACTTCTTCAAGGGTTATATGTAGGACAATTGACATATGCATGTAAAGTCTTTGGATGCATATCTGGTACAAAATACTCAGCCAATACTAATATATATTTTTTTTACTATTGCTCTAACATTTCTTTTAAATTCTTTTTTTTAATTAACATATAATGTATTATTTGTTTCAGGGGTACAGGTCTGTGATTCATCAGTCTTACACAATTCACAGCACTCACCATAGCACATACCCTCCCCAGTGTCTATCACCCAGCCATCCCATCCCTCCCACCCCCCTCCACTCCAGAAACCCTCAGTTTGTTTCCTGAGATTAAGAGTCTCTCATGGTTTGTCTCCCTCTCTGGTTTTGTCTTATTTCATTTTTCCCTCCCTTCCCCTATGATCCTCTGTCTTGTTTTCTCAAATTCCTCATATCAGTGAGATCATATGATACTTGTCTTTCTCTGACTTATTTCGCTTAGCATAATACCCTCTAGTTCCATCCACATCATTGCAAATGGCAAGATTTCATATTTTTTGATGGCTGCATAATATTCTATTGTATATATATATACACACCATATCTTCTTTATCCATTCATCTGTTGATGGACATCTAGGCTCTATAGCAGTAATGTCCACAATAGCCAAACTATGGAAAGACCCTAGATGCTCTAACATTCCTTATAAAATCCCACATCAACTATAAAATATCACCAAGATATCATCACTGTCGAAAATTAACACTTCTGGAGAAATAATTTTCTTGGGATCAGAGCATGCTAAATTCTGATCATATGAATTTCTTTACGGTCCCCCAGTTGGTTCAAAATCAGTCAGTGATGCATATTCAGAAAACTGAACTTAAGGTTTCACAGTGGTTTTTGATCATGTCTATTACAATAGATTCCACAAGTTATATGCTCCTAAATGATAACACCTTTGAAAAAAGTAATAAAGGTCTATTGTGCAGTTTATACTTTCCTTATAAGGCTGATAAACCTAGGGTCCATATTTTCATAGGTGGCTTCCTGGAAAGTGAGGCTTCCCTGGAACTGCATGCAAAATTTGACCTGTATATGTATTCTTCTGGAGAGCATTTTGTTAGCTTTCATCAGATTTCAAAAAAGATCTGTGACACAAAACTGAACAAATCCTGGCTTACTTAAACCAAGCTGGGGTGAGTGGCAAGCAGCGATCTTGTGTCTCCCTCCTGCATTGCTGCTGGTGGCCTGTGATTAATAAGGTTGTTGCATGTGCACAGCATTAATCCATCACCCAGTTCACCTTATGACAGAGCTCATCTCCCTCCTTGTCAGTCCTTCTCATTATAAGTGCCCCTGTGAAATCACCTCTATACTGTTACAGCTAGAGTGGACGTTCATCCTCCTTGGCCTGGGACAGTCCTATTTTTCACAGGCACCAGGATAATTATTAACAGCACCACTTTTGCTCTCAAAACTGGCCCAGTTTGAATAATATGATTACCATAAACACAACTCAAGAATGCCTGAGAACAAGACTAGCCTTTGATGAAGCACCATCATCTCTCAGAAAAAAAGTTAATCACAGTCAATTTCCAAACATAGCTAGTCTTGCCAGCAGCCAAGAGAAGAGTAGCAACCAATCTTACCAATCTTCAAGAAGTTTTTGCCCCCAACAGGGGCAATAGGCCCCTACAGCAGATGTTTACTGAGGAGGCAGAATGGGGTGAGGCGGTTGGGAAGAAGTATTCTCCACCCTGCAGATTATAGAAGGAAGCAGCCGTTCTCGGACAGACAACATGATGAATGATCACTTGCCCCAACACTGCCCTTTCACTGGCCAGGCCACCTGACCTCTGAACGGAAACAACTACTTTTAGAATCCAGATTCTCAGAATTCTTGGTAACTTGTCCAGATCCCGAAGCTAACTTCATAATTCCCAGGAAGAAAACACGCTATGAAAATGCCTGAAGTACCACCAGTAGTCACTCCTAGATGTGCATTTTAAATGAAAAAATGTCTACTACAGTTTCCATACTTTCTGGACAGTAAAAATGTATGAATAGGAGAATGGCAGCATAATGGATGTTACATTATAAGATATTATTACATGATATTATCTTGTTAAAAGCATTACATAAGATATTATCAAATGAACACACAGCATTGTTTTGAATATTATATTGAATGAGGCCAAAAAATGAATTTCTACTTTAGTGATGTGGAACTCAGTGATCTGAAATTCTTCAAAAAAGAGAGTTCATCCTAAATTTGTCCACAAAAATACTAATTATAATGAAGTGATAAATATGAATAAAAAATAAGGATATCAATTTTTATATCCAAATTTAGAATGATATAAAAAGTTATATGCTTAACTGGGAAGATTCTATGTGAAAATCTCAAAAGAAATTCCTTTCTTTTAGCAAATGGCTAGAGCTGTAAGTAAATTGAATTAATGTAAACATGTGATGCCAATGAGGGGTAGGTAAATATCACTGGAATCCCCCTGGCTTAAGGAATAAAAATCCTCTTGTTGAAAGTATTTTTTTAATTAATTAATTAATTTATTTGACAGAAAGAGAGAAAGGGGGATCAGCAGAGGGAGAGGGAGAAGCAGACTCCCTGCTGAACAGGGAGCCCAACGTGGGCCTTGATCCCAGGATCCTTAACCAACTGAGCCACCCAGGTGCCCCAAAAGTATTTTATTAAGGAAGAAAACCATTCAATTTTACCCTCTCCAAGGAGAAATCTTAAGAAACAAGTACCCATCCTTCAAAAAAGTCAAACAGGAACTGCATTCCGGTAAGAGTGCTGATGGTCTCACTGAATGTTCTTATGCTGTTGAGATTTCTCCTACAACTTGAAGTGAGTGTTAAGTTTAGCCATAACTGGCCAGTAGGCTCCTTGCTTGAAAATCCAATCTCACCAGGTAAAGTAAAACCCAGTTGTATGTCAGCCTTCAAGGGATGGGTATTTTTCATTTGGCTTATAAACATGATTTGTAAAACATGAGCTGGGAACACAATTTAACCCAGTTCCCACCCAAAGCCTAAATCCAAATGAATCCCTCTGGGGTTTTATGTGCCTGGTACAATAGAAGCTCTGTCAAGCTAAAAGAAAGCTGTGACGTGAAGGACTGTGTGGACTCCTCCCCACAGCAGTGAAGTCAGTGCCAAAGAACTGGAAATGTTACAGAGTGAAACCATATCCTGCCTGGACTTCCAGTTCTCATTTAAACCCAACCATTCCTTGTTTGGCCATCTGAAGCTATTCCAAAAGACATACATTTCTATCAACAAGAATGTAGGCAATGTTATTTACAAATGCTACCTACAAATTTACTAGCTTTTGTTCCTTCCCCGTGTTTCCATTCCATTAGGCTATCCTGCTTCCCCTCTGTTAGCATGAACCAATGTCTCTGATGAGTATGGTAGGTTTAGGGGGGCATGTCTTACTTGGGCAATCTTCCCACCCCAGAGCTTGCCCTAGCCCATCATTCTGAGTCCCTGAAATGCCAAATCAAGGAGTGTTTTGATACAAGTGGAGTCATGCCTAGGCTCTGGTTGTTTAAGAAGGAGATGGGATTTTTATGTATCCTCAGCCAATGTTTTTGCCAATGATTTAGTCTGACAGCAGCATGGTACCTCATGGAAACTAGAAACACCTGACTTCCTTCTTTCTCTAATATGTACTCTTTTATGTCCTATGAAACTTAGGAAATATTAGGAAACCAGTGACTGCATGAGGAATATACTTTCCCTAGATTTGGGTGGTTATGAACCAGCATCTGTATATTTCAAGCTTTCTAGAAAACTTATTCAACAATATAGTTCTAAAACACATTTTATAAAAAGTTGTAAAAGCATCGGCGAACAGTTGTTGCTGTATATCTTAGCAAGTACAAGTGGGCATTTATTCATTTCAAATATCTAGTAATTCAGTATATACTTATTTAAGTAGGTACCAAGTATAAATGTTTAGATAGCTCATCTTCCCTTCACATGATTGAAATTTGCCTAGTTTTTCCATACCCTATTGTAAATTGAGAAGAATTTTCTTTTCCATTTTAGTTTCCCTCTACCATGGTTGCTGGTTAGTTTTATGTGTCAATTTGGCTGGGCCACAGGGTGCCTAGATATTTGGTCAAACATTCTCTGTCTGTGAAGATGTTTTGGGGTGAGACTAACATTTGAATTGGTAGACCCAGTAAAGCAAATTGCTCTCCTCAGTGTGGGTGGGCCTCATACAATCAGTTGAAGGTTGATACTTCCTATTGTAAGAGGGAACTCCTCCCACCTGAATGCGTTAAACAAGGACATCTGGTTTCTCCTGCCTTCTAACTCAAACTGAAACATCAACTCTTCTGGGCCTTGAGTTTGTGGGCTTTCCAGCTGAAACTTATACTATTAGCTATCCTGGTTCTCAGGCCTTCACACTCAGACTGGAGCTATACCACTGGCTCTCCTGGGTCTCTAGTTTGCCAATTGCAGATCTTGGGACTTCTCAGCTTCCATAACATTGTGAGCCAATTTCTTATAATAAATCTCTTTCTCTCTATATATATGCATCCTGTTGGTTCTGTTTCTCTGGAGAACCCTAATACACATGAGGAAAACCACCAAAATAATCACAAATCCACCAAATACTTATAAAACTTAGACTTTTCTAATCAAATGAATAAATATATTCTTAAAAATCTAGTGAGCCCAAAGTTGCTATGGTAGACACAGAAGAAAAACAAGAAACTTATACTAAAAAAAAGATGACTTATAATCTAGCTAAGGAAAGAAACATCTGGCTAAGAAAAGATGTACACATATGGAAAACCAAGGCAAAATTATGTGAAAAAATATAACCAAGTGCTAGATAATAAACAAAAGAAAGGGATTTACTTTAAGAAATAGCCTTGGACTATACAAAATTATGATTGGCATACAAAATTCACTCATTTCATATCTACCTTTAACATTTCCTGCTTTATCCAAATTATTTCATGTCCCCTTGAAATCTGGGAGCCCTCATCATCTACAGTATACTATCTATTAAAAAAAAAAAATGAAAGGCAAGCCACAGCCTGGGAGAAAATAGTGACAGTACACACAAATACCAAAGGATTTATATCCAGAATATAGGAAAACTTCCTACAACTCAGTAATATCGAGACAGACTATTGATTTTAAAAATAGAAAAAATATTTGAACAAACACATCACAGGAAATGTTCACAAGTGACTAACATCATTAGTCATCAAGAAAATACAAATGAAAACTACAATGAGATACCACTACACACACATTCAAGTGACTAAAATTTTTAAAGATGGACATTGCCTAATGTTAACAAGGATATGGAGCTTTTGGAAATCTTATACATTAATGGCAGGAGTAGAAAATGGGGCCAACACTTTGGAAACAACTTGACTTTTTTTTTTTTTTAATAAACACACACTTGTGTATCTAAGAGAAATGAAAATCTGTGTCCACACAAAGTCTTGTCTTGAACATCCATAGCAGCCTTATATGCAATAGTGGAAAAACAGAAACAACCCAAATGTCCACCAACAAGTAAACAGAAATACAAACTATGCAAACTATTCATGCAGTGGGACGTTACATGGGGATGAAAAAAAATGAACTGCTAAGATATACAGCAACAAAGCTGAACCACAAAAAATGTATGCTGAGCAAATGGAGGCCAACATATATTATTGTTTAATTTCATTTTTATAAAACTCTAGGAAGATAAATCTAAATTACAGGTAAAAAAAGATCAGTGATTGTCTGGGACTAGTGGTGACAGGTGGGGGTTGACTGGAATGGAGCATAAAGAAACTTTTGGAGGTGACAGAAATGTTCTATATTTTGTTTTTGAAAGTGGTAACATGAAATACACATTTATCAAAACTCATCAAACTCTAAAATTACAATGGGTGCATTTTATTATATGTAAATTATACCTCAATAAAGTTCAATTTAAAAATCCAAAATAAATCCCAATACAGTCTAATGTTCTTTCACTAAATAGCCACATAAAAGAGTCCCTCACCTCCTCTGAGTCTTTGTTCAAATGTCATCTTTTCAATGAGGACTTTCCTAACTACTCTACTTGAACCCTTCTTTCCAATTTCTGATTCCCTTATCCCACTTCATTTCCTATGCTTAGTATCAGCTATTATACTATATAATTTATTACATTGTGTGTTTATCATCTATTATCCAGCTACAATGTAAATTCCATAAAGCCACAGATATTTTATCTTGCTTTTATGTTTTGTTTATTAATGCACCCCAAGTTGTTATGTGCCTTACACAAGGTATGTGGTCAGTAAATCTTTGTGGGATAAATACAATTACAAAGAGCTAATCTTTTCAGAGGGATCTCATTTTAACAAGCCACTAGACAAAATGAATTAGAATACCTTTGGGAAAAAAAAAATCATATTTTTTACATTGTCACATCCAGGCAGTCATTCTCAAATATGTTCTCGGTGTTACTGATTTGGTTTTAGGCAACTAATCCATACATAATCTTGGTATTGTTGTAGATAAAGGAGAAGAGCTGAGAAAAGTATAAAGAATGACTAAATATAAAGACCACGGTGTCATATTCAATGATACAACAAAGGAACTAACAATGCACCCTAGTAAAATGTCACTTTAATCATATTTACTCTTAGGAATGCTTTAGGAGTTAATTGACTCTTAAGTAAATAAATCCCTATGAATAGTCCTAAGTGCCAAAGGAACTTTATTATATTTACTATAATCAAATTATTTAAACCCTCTGGATCAGTTTT